TGGCAGGTTAAAGCCATTCCCCTTGGCCTGTCCCTCCATCCCTTGTCCAAAGCCCCTCTCCAGGTTTCTTGGAGCCCCTTTAGGCACTGGGGCTGCAGTAAGGACCCCTCAAGAGGGGGGGTTTGTGCCTGTATCACTGCCAGCACCAACCCAGACGTGCCGCACTGGGATGCACTCAGCTACATGCCATGAGGGTGGGAGGCAGCACCCCAGGAGCCGGCGCTCTGGAATGGAGGGAGCCCCACGGGAGCCACCCCCAGCCCCGGGGCCAGGACCCAGCTCCTGCAGGGGGGCGATAAAGAGCCCCTCCCCGGGGGGGGCCATGGGGCTGAGCCAGCTCAGATAAAGGAAGGGGAGGATGAGCTGGGCGGGAAATGCTTCCATGGGGAGTCACCCGACCAGTCCAACCAGCATCGCAGCCAGCCCGGCCCCACAGAACCACCCCGGCCCCGGGATCACCCCCTTCTCCTGAGCAGACCCCGGGATCCATCAGGATTCCTCCGGCAAAGTGCCCTCATCAAGGAGAGGGGTGAGCCAAGGAGGGCGGAAGGAATGTCGAGCCCAGCCCAGGGGAGTTTAGGGAAGGAAATTGCACAATATCCCTGGTTTCTGACATGGGGTCAGGGGCTGGTGATGAGGAGGGAGCCTGCTCATGGGGACAGACCTGCCCATCTCCCCCTGCACTCGATGCCATGGGGATGTCTCATCCCTGCCACAAAGGGACAATCAGGGCTTTGTGTCAGTGCCCGGACGGGCTGAGGGGAGCCCTGAGGAACAACGTGACAGCCCAGAGCCCGATTCCACTCCTGCAGGGAGCTCATCCCACCAAACACCCCATGGCTGCACCCTCCAAGTCCTGCCGGCTCCATCCTCCCGGGAACAGCACATCCTTGAGCCCAAAGAGCCTCGGACGTGGGGATTAACCCCAGCACTGAGCTCATGGGGAGCCACCAGCACATCCCTCAGCCAGGCAGGGCTCTGCTGTGGACACGTACATGGGGCAGAGCCACTTCCCTGCCAGGTTCCATGGACATGGAGCTCCAAGAGCCCTTCTCCTCTCCCTAAGGCTCAGCTGAAAGGGGCAGTGAAAGCTTCCCAACGTCACCCCCACAAGGGGCACGAAGGGGCCTCCTGATGCCCCCTCCCCGGGTGACCCCCCTGGAGGTGTTGCAACACCCCACTGGCCCCACTGACACCCATGGAGGAGCCCCCAAATGCTCCTTCCTCCACCCTGGAGACGCTCCTGCTGCCCATCGGTGTGGGGAGCATCTGGACCCACACATGGGGTCTCTGGGGCTCCCAAATCACCTCCCCAGGCTCCAGGGCGGGTTTGGCCACGAGGGTCACTTCCTATGTGGAACTCAGCACATCCAGCACAGTGGAGGAACCCCCGTTAACACCCATGAACAGACACACACAGCCCAAGCTGCCCCTGCACCAACATTCCCGAGGTTCAGACCTTTCCAGGTGCATGATCCATGAGATCCATGAGGATCTTCCCAGTCCCATCTTTGGCAAGAACACCAGCAGCTCCCCCCCACAAGCTCCAGTGATCCCAGAGCATCCCCCGGGGTCAGGAGAGGAGCCAGGACACTGGAGCCCCAAAGGAAGCTGAGCCGAGCTTCCAAAGCAGCTCAGCCCCAGGAGACATGCAGGAAAGCAGCGGGAAGCATTAGGAGCTCCGGAATCCCCTTGTCCCATCACATGGGATACCCAAGGGCTGGGAGGCTGAGGAAGCAAACTGGGGTTTCTCTTCCATTCCCCTCCCTTGGAAGCAGAAGGAAACACACACCCCCCCCGGCCTGTAACCCTGGCACAGAGTGGTCCCAGCAGTGTGGTCTGTGCTCACCGAGCAGCTCAGCAGAAGGCTCCTCATGGATCATGTCCATGGATCTGGACAATGGGCAGGACTGCTCCAAACTCGTCTCTTTAAGTCACTATCAAAGGGCTTGGAGCAGGAGGGACCCACATGTGGAGCCCCCCAGGGCAGCAGAGCGGGCTCAGTGACAAGGATGGACCCACAAGCACCCAGTGTGGAGCCCGGGGGGGGGTGCTCAGCACCCACCCGGGAGGGGCTGATTCAGGTGACAAGGGGACAAACAGACCCATTGCCACGTCTGGAGTGAAGCCGCACAACCGGTGTGACCGGTGCCGAGCAGCTTCCCATGGCTGCCACAGCTTGGGAATCTCATCTGGGAGCTTGAGTCATGGTCCCAGCCAGGAGCTGGGATCCTGCTGGCTCCCCACAAGCCCTTCTGGAAGCTGAACCTGCACTGGATGGTTCAGATCCAACAGCATCCAAGTGCTGCTGGAACGTCACATCCTGCGAGCTGAGGAGGAGGGAAGAGCTCGGCCGTGTCCCGGTGAGCTGTCACCATGGATCGGGAGCGGAGCTGGAGGGAGAGGAGGAGGAGAAAGAGGAGGAGGAGGAGGAGGAGGCGGCTCCACGTTGGATGGGTGGTCTCTGGAACGTTCCTCCCTGTCCCACCTCCGAGGGCAGAGCCAGGCACAGACACAGGAACCAGGCGCTGCCCATGTGCTTCCCCGGCACATTCCGAACCAGACGCAAGCCTGGACACAGCAGGAGGGATCCCAGTGATCCCACCGGAGGCAAAGGGACCTTCCCCCACTGCACGGCCATGTACAAGGCACTGTCAGCCCTGCTCGGGGTGCAAACAGGAGCGAGCTCCCAGCCGGGCGGGTGTCTCTGCTCCGGAATTCCAAGGATCAGGCTAATCCCATGAGCCGAGCGGCTGCAGCAACTGCCCAAAATAATGCTGCTGGAAAACAAGACCGGGCGAGCGGGGAGACGGGT